GCACAAAGACGAATTTTATCAGTCAACACATGAAATTGTGAAGGCACTCTGCAGGGGAGACACAAGTATTGAGCTGGCAAGGCCACTTGGCGAGGCCCTGAGGGATCTTCAACCGGCTTCTTGCGTTCTGCCAGTGCGCACTGTTGGTGTGCAGGGTGATGGCAGAACGTACGCCTATGCTGTGGCTATTTCTACCGGTCGATTTCCGGTGGAAGCGGAGTGGAAGGCACTCAGTCGTTTGGCACTTGCTATCCCAAAGGTTGCGCAGCATGTGAACCGCGTGGTGTTTATGTTTGGACCGAAAAGGGAGGATTCTCCGCATAGTGTCACGAAGACGACACTGAATCCCACTACTCTCGACAGATTACGTATTGCAGACGACATTGTGAACTCCACGTTACTCAAACACGACCTTGTGCGTCGGCTGAGCCAAGTCCCTGTGGTTCTCATACCTCTTGGGTTTGAGGAAAAAGGTCAATACAGCGTTGTGGTACGCACGTTTGTTACAAACGACTTCATGACGGGCGTTCCGGCGCTTCCCGGGACACCACTGATGCCACTGGCCGCCTTGGAGGAAATGGTGAATTCTTTGCAGCAGCTGGATTTTTTATCCCGTGTCATGTATGATCTTACAGCGAAACCACCTGGAACGACAGAATGGGAATAATAGCGGTGCTCTTCTTCCCACCCCCCGTGTGTCTCTATTTATTATGGAGTATGTGTGAAGGCAAAAATGGGTATATGTTTAGTGACATATTGACTTTGATGACAATTTTCTGTCTTAGAAAGAAGCGTACGGGAAAGAGGAAGAAAAGACGCCAATAGGAACGGAGTAAATGGAGTAAAGGAATAATTTTCCCCGTAAAATGAATTAAAAAAAATTGTTTTCCTTGGAATGGTTTGAGGTAGAAAGTGTAATAGAGGAGGCCTCCTTCTGCTGAATATATATATGCACATTTGTCTAATTGGTTGTGCGTGTGTTTTTTTTTTTCTTCTATGACAATTTACAAACTTTGTCTCCTGCATCATTTTTTCCGATTCTTTTTTTTTTTTCTTGTGCCTCCCGCTGGTGATCAGTTAAAGATAAAAGTTAGGTGCGCCGAAAGCGTATTTGGTTTAAAGGGGTGAAAACAAATTTTTTTTTTTGCTTTTTTTATTATTACTTTTGTAATGGATTGCGTCCTGGAGGCTCCGACAGCGGCTGTGGAGTATGCTCGCACAAGCAACGCCTTTGCGGCAAAACGGCTTGTGGAAGCACCACTTCTAAACACGTTGCCGAGGTGTAGAAATACCTTTTGTGTTTCGCATGCCTCAAAGCATCCTGACGCTGCGACTGCAAGGGCCTTCTTAGACAAATACATCCCGCAGCAGCGAACCGACATGGATGTGCAACGTGATGCCGTTCGCCAGCACCAACAAGCCCGTTTTCGTGAAATTGTAGAGGCGAGCGAGAGGAAGAACGCAATGAGCGTCAGAGAGAAAGTTATAGGAGTAAAATGCCTCATGCATCTTGCCGCTCAGAAGAGCCTTCAACATGCCAAAATGATGAACCATCACCCAATTGTTATTCACTCCGTGCGTCACACCTGGCGGACGCTTCTTCTGCAGCTAAAAGAGCACCTTAACGATAATGGTTTCGGTGAGATCCAGGAAGAAGAAGAAGCCCAGCTTGCATTCCGCTGCCGAGGAGCCTTGGAAAATGTATCTGCTCTCGGTGTGTGGTTTGTCGGAGCCATGTCCATTCCCTTCCGTCGCTATGCCGTTCGGATTCCTACGGAGGATGGCACGCTTCAAGACTTTGTGGTGATTGGCCTTGCGTCATTCACGTACTCGTCGTACGTTATGGATGACCGCCGGCTTGCACAAGAGGCCACTCTCGCGGAGCTTGAAAGGCTCTCCAAGAGGCTCAGTGTAAACCTTCTATTTTTACCGCCCTTGCTATTGCCGGAAGAACCCCTACGGGATAACACCGATTTCACTCAAACCAAAAATGCTTCCATGGAGATGCTGATTGCCTAAAAAACAAAAACAAAAACAAAACAAAAACAAAAACAAACAAAAAAAAAGCATCAACGAAACAAACAAACAAAATAAACTAAAAGCGAGAAACAGAAAGAAAAACAACACACACACACACACACACACACGAAAATCAACAGGCAGTAACAAAAACAAAAAATAAATAAATAAATAAATAAATATGACAGCATACACGCACACAGAGCACAATAAGGCAAGGCAACGAGAACTTAACAACAAAAAACAAACAAACAAAAAACAACAACAAAGAATTGAAATATATACATATCTAGAAGAAAGGGAAAGGCAAAATCCCCGTGACAATGGTGCAACGCGGCTTTCCCTTTCTTTTTTTTTTTTCCTACTATTTAATTTTGAATAAGGACAATTATATCCATATAAAACATGATTTGAAGCTGCTTGATCATTTCTAAAAAAGAAAAGAAGAAGTTTGATGAATATTTATATCTTCACCAGTTCCACATTGGCCAATATGATACCCGTATAATCAGAGGCAAATTTTTCTGCGAATTTCAGGGTAACCGTGAGGGATTTTTTTTTTTTTTTTGTATGTGTTTGTTTGTGTGTGTGTTTTTCCCTTGATTGTGCTGCCGCCTAGGATGGTAGAAGCAATACGGAACGTCCTGCGGGGAAGGGGTTAAACGTGTTAAGAAAAAACAGAAGATTAAGGTGTGGAGTGGGGGAGGGACCCTTCATGTGCTGGTAATCACGGCGGCATAACACCCCCCTTACGTTACGTTTTGTTCGGCTGTGGCATGCGCGTGGATGCCGTACAATATTTTGTTTGTGTGCATTTATTTATTTATTTATTTATTTTTTTTTGTTTGTTTTTTTGCGTGTGTGTCGATCTCCTTTTTTTTTTTTTTTTTTTTTTTTCTTTTTTTGTACTTATGTTTTTTTTTTTCTTAGTTACTTGTCGTACTCCTTTTTTTTATTTCCCCTTTTTATCTTTTTCAGTTGTTGTTGTTTTTCTCGCGGCGACTCGTCGCTCCCTTTGGACTTCACAGCGTTGTGTTTGTTGGGCGGCGGGGTGTACCCTCCACCTCCTCCCGCGTCTCCTCCTCCTTCTCCCCTCTTCATCTCGCCTTGAGGAGGGGAGGGGATAAAAAGGAGTTCTAACGAAGGACGCACACACAAGCAAAAAAAAAAAAAAAAAAAAAAAAAAGAAAAATTGTGTACAAAAATACATAAATACATGCATGTATGTATTATATATATATGGCAGCAAATGTTTATATATATTTATTTATCTATCATTATGTATTTATTACTGCTGGCACCATTATTTGTTGTTGGGCAGTTTGCATGCACCATTCTTTTTTTTTTTTTTTTGTTTTAAAACCACGAGCCGCCCTTGACTTTTTTTACTTTTCAAACAACAACAAAAACAACAAAAAAGAATTAGACAAATAAATAACAACGCATATGCATTAACAAAACACATATGGTCGGAAAACGACAAATAGAAAACTACAGCATGTAGAATCGGCTTTCCCCCCGCTCTCATGTAGCAGTGGGAGAGGAGGGGGGAAAGAATATATATATAATATATATATTATGAGATGTGGTTGTGGGTGTCTTGCAAAATCTTTTTATTTCGGAATGGGCTTTTTTTTTTTTTTTTTGTATTTTCCCCCTTTTTCCTTGTTTTTATAAAAAAAAATTTTTTTTTTCTTTTTCTTTTTGGTTTTTGGTTTTCTTTATTTTCCGGTCTACGTTGAAAATAAAGGAAGCTACATATTTATCTCTCTATCTAAATACATATATAATATATATTCTTTTTTTTTTTTTTTTGTATAAATTCGTGTCTTATGGTTTAATTCCACATTACAAGCCTTTTTTTTTCTTTTTTTTTCTGTTTTGTTCTGCCGTTGCTTTGGTGTACAGTAATTCAGTGTCATTTTTGTTTTTCACTCCTTCCCACTTCACTCCACCTGCGTAAGTTGTACGCTATCGGACTGTTTAGTTTTAGAAGCGAGAAAAAGTATGATATTTGCCCTTTTTTTTTTCTTGTTTTTATTTTGAGTATATGTGATGTCTCCTGAAGGGGAGGAAGGCCGACCGGCATTTTTTGCCACGATCTTCATCTTCATCATCTTTTTTTTTTTTTTTTTTGTTTACCCATTTTTATTTCCTTTTTTTTTTTTTTTTTTTTTTTTTTCTTCTTTTCCCCTCCTTCTCCTCCTTTGGTGTGTATGTGTGTGGAGCATGCTCTTTTATCTACCACGTGCCCATGTAGGGTTCTCTCCCCCCCCCCTTTTTTTTTTATGGACGAGTAGCGGCATCAATTTACATGTGATTTTGTTTTTGCTTGTTACTTCGGTTTCAATATGCATTTTTGTTGCTGCAATGTTGCATTTTTGTCGTCATCACTGTTGCTACTGTGCAACGGTACTGAGAATAAATAGAATATGTATATGTATATATGTATATATATATACATGTTTTTATCTGTGAACGCCCTTTTTTCCCGAGCGCCTCCCCCCTCCAACATTGTCTTTGAAAAGCGGTGTGTGTGTGTGTAGGGATTATAAATATCTTCTCGGATGGGGCGCCATGCACGTCAGCAATGACGTGGCTGTGTGACAGT